TACAATTTGCCGATGATACTATTTTCTTTTCTTTGGGGGATGAAAGACAATTGGGAAATCTATTTTTGGTGTTGAAACTTTTTGGGGTGATTTCAGGCCTCAAGGTTAATTTGGAAAAAAAACAGTGTGGTTGGTATTAATGTAGATAGTGATCATCTCCAACAAGTGGATGAGCTTTTAAGGTGAAATGTTGAGACACTTCCCATTAGATACTTGGGACTTCCATTGGGAGGTAACCCTAGAAATGTGTCATTCTAGACCCCAGTTGTGGAGAAGATTGGAAAGAGGTTGGAAGGATGGAATAGGGATTTACTTTCTCAAGGAGGTAGGTATGTAAGATAAATTGAGAGAGAGAATTACAGAGAGAATAAATTGTATGTATTATTATGATTGATGTATTACAAATGGTGAGGGGCTCCTTATATAGGAGAAGTTTACAAACAATGCACCCAAAAGCAACCGAAAGCAAAGACATCATGATTACAGCTTGGACACTTTACAACTAATAACACTAACAGCTAATAACATATAATACATTAACAGCCCCCCTCAAACTCAAGGAGGATAGGAACTAACCAACTTGAGTTTGAAGAGAGTAACAAAACGTGAAAATAAACTGAAAAATAAAATAGGATAGGAGACACTGTATGGTTGTGTCAGAACCGTTGGTGAAGACACTGTATGGTCGTGTTAGACCGTTGTAGGAGCTAACCGGAATCAATGTCAGGACAGTTTACGGGGTCATGCCAGACCGATGTAAAAGTTAACCGGAATCAATGTCGGGACAGTTTACGGGGTCATGCCGGACCGTTGTAAAAGCTAACCGGAATTAATGTCGGGACAGTTTACGGGGTCATGCCGGACCGTTGTAAAAGCTAACCGGAATTAATGTCGGGACAGTTTACGGGGTCATGCCGGACCGTTGTAGAAGCTGACCGGAATCAATGTCGGGACAGTTTAGGTGAAGGATAGGTATATGTATATAATATGATAGTGGTGTTGGTGGTAGATAGTGGCATGTATATAATATGATAGTGGTGTTGGTTGTAGATAGTGGCATGTATAGAATATGATAGTGGTGTTGGTTGTAGATAGTGGCATGTATAGAATATGATAGTGGTGTTGGTGGCAATGTATATAATATGATAGTGGTAGATAGTGGTAATATATAATATGTAAGTGGCATATAATGGGTTATAATGATGTTTGTAATATCTCTCCTATATAAGGAGTGTCATTTGGTCTTGTAAGATAAGAAGTTTTGAATATAACAGAAATATATTCCTTCTTCCTCATATTTTCGGAGTTCTTCTTCCTCATATTTTCTAAGTGTATATAACCATGCTCATTAGCTTGGGTGGTTCGCATGGTGTGTAACCATGCTCACCATGATATATGTATAACCCCTCCTCAAACTCAAATAGGTGTGAAGATAGAAACCTATTTGAGGTTGAAATAAAAGGATTGATAAAGTGGAGCGGAACGGCTCAACACAGAGTAGAGATGTTAAAAAAAAATTTTTTTTTTTTTTTTTTTTTGGTGGAATATAAAAAATAATAAGATAATGGAAAAAGGGTTGATGCTCACCAACTGAATTGTATAATAATGAAATATTGATGGAAAAAGAAAGATAGAAAAAATAAAAGAAAATAAAATGAAGGTATTGGGAACAAGAATCTGGAAAGGCAATGGAAATGTAGGATTTGAATTTGGTGGTTTTGTGAATAATAGTCTGTGATGGTATGCTGGCACTTTGAGTATTGGATACTGTTGTGCTTGTGATAAAAGAAAATAAAATAGGATAAAATAAAAGGGTATGGTGGTATGGGGGAGAGACACACACAGGACACACACAGAACACACAGGACATAACAAAGATAAGATAAAATAAATAAAGGTATTCTATTTTGTGGTGAGGGAGTCGGTGAGTGGGGTGCAAAAGGTGAAGGAAAGGGTTGGAAAGTTGACAAAGTGGTGGATGTCCTTGAGTAGAGAGAGAGAGTGAGAAGTGTGTTTTCAAACTGCCAAAAAGAAGAGAGAGAGAGAGTGGGTTGAGTAAAAATATTAAAAATGTTTTCATCATAAAGAAAAAGAAGTGAGTGGGTGATATTATATTAAGAAGTTGGGTTCATGGAGAGAGAAGTGAGGTCAGGTTGGAGTCTTGAAGGCAGTGACCTTCTTGGCGATGAAGTCTCAGTTGTTCGTGGAAGCACCGAAGGCCAATGACGCTGTAGAGTTCTATAAGGCCGCGTTTGCGAGAGAGAGAGCCCATGAGAGGGAGCTTCGGTGGTGTTCATCGCCATAAGAGAGAAGAGACCCTCCTCCCGCAAAGTAATGGTGTGTGTTGGTAGCAGCACGGCAAGGGTGAAACGCCAATCGCCACCATAGACCAGAGAATGAAACACCGATCACGACGGGAGCACGGTGGAGGCGTGGAAGCTCGCCGATGAGACAATTGGTGGCGCAATGGTTGCAGCAGCGATGGAGGTCGCTAGAGGGGAGGGCACTGGTAGCGGCGGCACCGTGCTTCTGCGGAGGAGGAGCACGACTTGCTGACTGAGGAGCTGGATGGGGTTGATGATTAAACTGATGAGGGTGTTTTACGGTGGCAGATGTGGTGCTTCTGCGGCTGCTGTTGCAGTGATTATTGGCGGTGATTGGAGTGGTTGAGTTGGTCACCCAGCTAGAGAGAGAGAGGTCTGTGTTGATCTGTGTGTGGTGTGCTGCTGCCGTGAGTGTGTGTGCATGGCTGTGTGTGTATGGATCGGCCATGCAGAGAGAGAAAGAGAGCCAAAATTCATGAATTGTGTGTTTGGGTCTCCCCCATTCTCTCTCTCTAGACCCCGTGTGTCTCTCCCTATGTTGTTCAGCCCATGTTGTTGTTGTTGTTGTTGTTTTTTTTTTTTTTTTTTTTTTTTTAAGCTTAGATCCAATCCCTCACCAGAGAGAGAGAGAGAGATGATCAACTTCATGGAAAAGCTGGTCCTCGGCGCCACTCCAGCCAGTGAGCTCATCGGCGGCGGCTGCGTCGCCCTAGAAATGAGTTATTCTGTACCCTAGTTGTAAAGAAGATTGGAAAGCGATTGGAAGGATAGAGTAGGGCTTTACTTTCTCGAGAAGCTAGGTTGAATCTGTTTCAATTTCATTCATACAATGTGGACAGGGCTAGAGAGGTAGGTTTGTTCGAAGGATTTCTTGTGGGCGAAGATAGGGTTAGTGTGCACATTTACAATTTGCCGATGATACTATTTTCTTTTCTTTGGGGGATGAAAGACAATTGGGAAATCTATTTTTGGTGTTGAAACTTTTTGGGGTGATTTCAGGCCTCAAGGTTAATTTGGAAAAAAAGCAGTGTGGTTGGTATTAATGTAGATAGTGATCATCTCCAACAAGTGGCTGAGCTTTTAAGGTGAAATGTTGAGACACTTCCCATTAGATACTTGGGACTTCCATAGGGAGGTAACCCTAGAAATGTGTCATTCTAGACCCCAGTTGTGGAGAAGATTGGAAAGAGGTTGGAAGGATGGAATAGGGATTTACTTTCTCAAGGAGGTAGGTACACTTTGGTTAAGACAATTCTAAGCAGTATTCCAGTTTACTTTTTGTCTCTGTTTCGGATTCCAGTCAAGGTGGCAAAATCTTTAGAAAAACTGATGTGGAATTTTCTTTGGGAAGGGAATGATGAGGGCAAAAAGGATCACTTGGTGAATTAAGAGACAATTTCCTTTCCTAAGGAAAAGGGAAGTTTGGCCATTGGTAATATTGTGGCTAGGAACACAGCTCTACTTGGCAAGTGGTTATGGAGATGCCCAAATGCGTGTGATTCATTATGGCATAAGGTTATTAGAAGCAAGTATGGGGTTCATGTTAACAGTCGAGACTCAGAGGTGGTCACTAGGGGTAATGGTTGGGCTCCTTGGAAATCAATCTCTCGTATTTATCCAGTTTGGTTCCGTTTCATTTTTGTGAGGGTGGGTAATGGGGAACTTGCCAAATTCTGGGAGGATGTTTGGGTGGGTACTTCTTCCTTTGCTGTGTCTTTTCCGTACTTGTATAGAATATCTCAATCTCATAATTGCTCTATTACTTCCATGGCATGCTTGTCTTTGGCTCCAATTTCTTGGAACTTTAATTTTCCTAGAAATCTTAATGATAGGGAAGTTGGGGAATTGATAGGTCTATTGTCAAGGCTTGAACATGTTTCTTTGGTCCTATCCTTGGAGGACAAGTGGGTTTGTGCTATTCATTCTTTGGGCTCCTTTTCTTGTACATCTTTTCTTGACGAACTCATTGATAAGCCTCGCATACGTTTGTTTCCTTTTCACAAGAAGATTTGGAGGGCTTGTGTTTCTTTTAAGGTAAAGGTGTTCCTGTGGATTTTGGTTCATAGAGGCACTTTAACCAATGATGCATTGCAAAAAAGGAGGCCTTCGTGTTCTCTAAATCCTCAATGGTGCATCATGTGTAGGAGGAGGAATGGAGAATCTTTGAACCATTTATTTATGCATTGTTCAGTGGCAGCAAATTTGTGGCCAAGGTTGTTTTGTTTGGGGAATGTTATGTGGGTGGCTTCAAAAGATAGTGGTCAAATGATCTTAATTGATTTTCAAGTGTTGGGCAAGTCGAAGAGGGCCAAGGTGCGGGTCATTTGGTTGGGAAGAAGTGGGCGTGTCTTTGAAGATGTATCTCGGGATATTGATTTTTTATGGGAAAAAGTCCGACATTTGGTTTCTTTTTGGATATCGGGGAGCCCTTTGTTTAAAGGAGTTCCTCTTTTTTTTTTTTATTGCAGCAGATTAGGTGTCATTTTGTGATATGTAGTGCCGGCTTTGTTTTGGTTTTGATTTTTTTTCGTTTTGTTTTTTCATTGCTCGTTTTTTCCCTTGTACCCTTTTTCTGAGGATACCTCATCCTCCTGTCTTTGGCTTTATGCCTTAATAAAATTCTTGTTTGTTGCTAATCAAAAAAGAAAAAAAAGATGGACTAATTGACAGGATTACCTGCATGCTACGAATCCACCGTGGCAACCTGCAGCCTTACTCAAAGTGCCTATGCATATGTCAACGTCACTTTCACAATTAAATTCCTCAGCCACGCCCCCACCATTTTTGCCACAAATAAACGTTCCATGAGCCTGAAAAAACTCCAGATTGATAGTAGCTCTCTTAATGGTACATAACAGACCAACTAAATGAGAAAGGAGTACTAGCTTTTTGCTGTCTAAAAGAAGATAAACTACAGGATGTGATAAACAAAAGTGAATTTTCAGACCCAAATAATTATCAAATGTAAGAAACAGCCAAACAGCTTCATACAGTCCCATGATACCTGAACACTAAGTAAACCTTTTTCCCTGGTAAGTAAAGATTCAGTAAACTTACATCGTCAATAACCAATAAAAATCCATGCCTCTTCCGAAGCTTCGCAAGTTCACTCATTGGTGCAAAGTCCCCATCCATACTGAACAAGCTGGTAAAAGAACATAAGTAAGACCCTGCCCCTTCAACAAATTCTAGGCATACACAGATTTAAGCAATTACTCAGAAACACAACCAAAAGAAGGGAAAAGTAAGGGGGCTGACAACAGAATACATGACATCCTTGTCAACAATGAAATAATAACAAGAAATGCATACACCTATAAAACACATCATTCCAGATAAAACATTCAGAACACAGACCGTCCTGCCCAGTAAAAACTTTTTTTTGCAAGACATCACAGTTTCTAACCACAAAGTATCTCTGGATTTGTAAATGGCATATCCCCTCATTTTCATATCATGTTGGTGTATCTGCATATTTATGGATATAAAAAATGAATAAACACACTACACGCTTAGACAGTTTCATTTTCAATCATATTTTTCTCACATAAAAACATGCTGAAATTGCATGTGAATATTATACAAGTTTTCTCATGTGTTAGAGTTCAGTTTGTGAAAGGAACTCACAAATTATTAACCTTGAGGAATTGTGATAACTTTGTTGAGTTTTAAAACCATAAGCATATGAAGATCCCTACACAAAGGTCATGACTTGGAGTGATGGTAAGTACAATCTGCTATCTGTGGCACGGGTTCGAAACATGGGAATCAGCCTCTCTCCACACACACACACAAAAAAGGTGTTACCTCTCCCAGCTCTACTGTAAATGAGATCTTTGTGCACTGGCTCGCTGACCTCTATATGAATATCTTTATGCCTAGCTTCACACTTCCCTCTTTAATACACTGGATATCTGAAAAGCCATTTTTTCATTCTCCAAATTATTTTTCTTGAAAATTTACTTCATATTTGCTTTCATTACCTATGTCCAATGCATCTATAGAGGAGATGGATTTTTTTTTTTTCTTTCCTTTACTTCTCTCTTTCTAATTTTTTTTTTTTTTTTTAAAAAAAAAAAAAAAAGAAAAGAAAAGAAAAGTGGGGTGGGGTGGGGTGTCAATTTGGAACAATAGGAGACCACTTTTCAACCTTGATACTTGTTTCCATCCTTTTTTATTTCTCTATCTCATCAAAAACCAAATGGTACCAACAACTAATTGGTATTCAAAACAATTACAATAACTTCATAAAAAAACGTAAATTATTAGGCCAAAGAAAGGGGACACAATCCTTGCATATAAGAGAAACCTCAAGTAGTTACAATAATACTACTGGTCTAAATGGAGCATAAAAGCAATTAATATAAAAAATCAGCATAAAAAATTCAACTAACCTATCAGTGACAACAACTTTCTTCTTCATTGTGCAACTAAATCTGTAAAAACCCAAATTGCTTAGCCATGTGACGAAAACAGGAGAGTATAATCCACTGTAGAGGGAGGATGAAGAGCAACAAATTGAAAAAAAAAAAATAACCTACAACAACTCATTAAGGTGAGACATGTCACAGTGTCTATAGACAAGCACCTCTGCATTTCCTTGTCGTTCAGCAAGACGGATGCCATCTATTATTGATGCATGGTTCAGAGCATCAGAAAATATGGCAACCCTTTCATCCTTCAAAGGTTTTCTCCCTTTAGCTAAAAGAGAGCCAAGATTTCCCAACGTCGTCATCAAGGCCATATTAGCCGAAAAGCCCGTAGGACAAAGAAGGCAATCCTAGAGCATAGAATTAGATAAAAAATGAATCGGTACTTTAGTACATGATTCCAAGAATAAGTCATATTTAAGAAATATCTTGGTCAAAAGGGAACAAAATACAGTATCCAAACTCCAAGGAATAACATAGCTATTTTCTTAGGTTTCAATTAACCATTTTCCATCATAATTAATTATCTGTACAATCAACATCACTCAAATGGTACACACGCAAGGTAATTATTATAGTCCTTTTATTGGATCCTTAGTAGCAGGAAACTCCTAAAGGGGCCTCGCTCTCTCCCCCACCCCCACTCCCACTCCTGCCCCCGCTTCCAACTTTAAACTTTTCTATAAGGCCTTCGCTCCCCCGTTCCCGCTTTATGCAACTATGATTGGATCTTTAACCTTATTTCTGTAATATAATTGAAGGCCATTATCAATTCATCTTAAACTCAACAAGTTTCCTGCGCCTTATCACTTATTAATTATATCATGCATAAGGCTGTAATATAAGCATACATCTTGATGAGAATTGTTAAAACCTACCATCACCTACTCCACCTACTACACCTACCACCACCTACTACACACCTACCACTACCACCTACTACCACCTACTCCACTACATCTCCTATATAAGGAGCCCCTCACCATTTGTAATTAATAACATACAACAATCAATAATACAATCATTTCTCTTTATACATTAAATTTCTACATGGTATCAGAGCAAGGTTAAGCACTTAGTATTTTTCGCTATAAGATTTAGGCCTATATTCCTTTCTTTCCGGCGGGCAGCCGGCCGGCAACCATGCCTTCGCTACCCGCTGGAGTTTTTCAACACCTCCACCTCCACTGCCTCCCATACCAGATCCTATGCCGAATGGCCTCGATTCAAAGCTCTACATGGGTACACATAATATCAGCCTGCTGCACCAAGAATCAACTCGATAAGGTCTGATGCAATCTGTTATCAGGCTCGTGATTGCAGAGATCTTCAGATGCAAACACAGATTCCTGATTCTTCTGGCTCTTGTTCCCATCCACCAATTCAACCTGTTAGTAGTGCTCAACAGACAGATGGTGCCACATTCAGTAATAAGGCTTATCATCTGCGACCGCCACCCCAACCAGCACCATCAAATCAGTTCTCTTACGTTCAAGCAGATCAGCGAATGCAGACACTGAGGGAAGCCCAACCCCTTTCATACCCTAACAGACCACATTTTGTGCAGAACACAGATTGTGGTAATTTTTACAGTGACCATGATAGAATGGAATCAGCTGTGGATTTGAAGGAGAAGATGAACACCCCATCCAATGAGAAGAAAGACCCTGCAAAGCCACCAGCCAAGGCACAGGTTGTTGGTTGGCCACCAGTTAGGTCATACCGAAAGAACATAATGACTCAGACGACTACCACCGAGGAGGTTTTCTTGGCCGAATCCTTGCGCATCACCTTCTTCGGGTACTTGTTTCCATGGGTTCTCTCTCTCCCAAGACCCCTTGTGTGCGTATCCCTCTTAGCCACTGATCCGTGCCTTCTCCTCATCTTGATTATTTTTTATTGATCTCCTCCTTCCACCAAAGAGAGAACCCATCCTGGCAAGAGAGAGCATATGCATATGTGTGTTGTTTTTCTCTCTCCCATGTGACCCACCCACTGTGAAAGGTCACCCAATGCACACCATCATTCAACATGATCCCCGAAGACATCATGTTGTTCCCCACTTTTTTTATTATATATATATATATATATCTCTTTTTATTATATTATATTAAAAATAAATAAATAAATAAAAAAACCCCAACACAATTTACCAATTTGCACAACAAATCATATTTTATTCATCTCAGGGATCAACCCCGATCACAATTTTACAAAAAAAAAAAAAAAAAAAAAAAAAAAACAAACAACAAAAAAAAACAAACAACACATCCACAGGCGGGGATTTTTTTTTTTCTTATCTAACTCTGCCGCCGGTCTTTCTTCTTGCTCCGTCCTGGGCGGCCCTTGACGGTGTTGCCTCCGTGTTTCCACGACCGCCAGCAAGTTGCATCCTCTCCCATCTCCTCCACAAAGCATATGGCGGACCTCCGAATAGGGAACATCAACAGCTGCCTTTCCGCTTCAGCTCCTTATTTTCCGCCTTTAGCACCACTATCTCTGCTCGCTGCATTCTTATACATGCGTTGGAGCAGAGCCAGTTGGGCGTCTTAACTGTTGCACCTCATTTGTCTACTCTGCAGCCGGTGCGACAAGTTTGTGAGTCCCGCCGTCATGGTTCCACACATGATTCAAAGTATACTGATGTGGCCTCATAATCGTTTGCACTGGGCATTTTTTGCTCCACACACGTATGCGGAAGTTCAACGGGCAAAACCAGAGGTTGGTTGGTTCTCAGGGCCACCGCACCAGTTTATTTCTCTTGTGGACCTGTTCAGGTCTGAAAGAGCGTGAGCAGACCACGTGGAAGAGGAGGCCATGGTT